GGGCCTATGGGGGTCTATGGGGCCTATGGGGGTATGGGGCCTATGGGGCCTATGGAGCCTATAGGGGTATGGGGCCCATGGGGTTCTATGGGGCCTATGGGGGCTGTGCTGGGCCTTGGGATGCAGCAGAGGGACTGGGCTGAGGGATCTCATCTTCAGCTGCTGACATTCCCTCACTCATCCTGCTGCTCCGAGTTGCTGCGAAAGAACAGCAAGGAAATAACCACCAAGGAAAGGCCCGGCCCAGCCCGTGTAGAACCAGGGCTGCAGAACCAGGGCGGGTATCTGCCACCCCACTCACTTCTCCCCCTCTGCTTCAGCTTCCACATTGTCCCGTCTCTGCCTGTGCCAGTCGTACAGCCGGAGCGCCCGAGAGTCCTGCTCCATGAGCAGCATGACCTTCTCCTCAAACTTTTCGAATTCACTGGTGTCCTGTGTGGGGCCACCAGCGACGGGAACGCTCTGGAGAGCTGAGGGACAGCAGGCAGAGGGGTAGCCCTGGCGCACGTTCCTTGCCCGCTCTTCGCCCTCTCCACCAAAGGCACAGCTGAGCATGTCCCTGAGCTCTCCGTATCGCAGCTTCTCAAAGAATCTGACAAAAAATAAAACGGGAAAATAACCAGGTTTGGCCAGGGGGAGGGCTGCACAGGTGTCCCAGAGGGAAGGGATGGCATTGGCTGCTGTGGCTGGCAATGAGCCCTCGATGGGAAAGGCATGTGCAGAAGACAGGAGTGGGGCAGGCAGAAAGAGGGCAGAGCCATCACCAGAGGAGAGTTTTGCTGAGAACTGGAGCCCAGAGCTATTTCCTCGTGGTCACAGGGATGTGGGACCACCCCAGAAGCCCAAGACCTGCCCCTCAGCACAGGGCTGGAGCAGGGCTGGGTGGGATGGGATCCTATGGCCGTGCCCATCGCTCCCGCTCTGGGGTCCCTTTCCTGGGTCTCTCCCAAAGCAAAGTGTGTTAAACACAGACTGGTAGGTGTCTGGCACCAGGGCGGCCGGGGGGCTTGGGGAGGAGCTGCTGTTCAGAGTGGGGATGGTTCTTGGCACAGCGGGGCCACAGGGCAGGGGGCAGGTACCTGCTCAGGGGGGATTTCACAGTGTCCTGCCAAACATCCTCAGGACGTTCCCAGCAGTGAGTCTGGGGAAGAAGAGACACTTGGAACATCACAGTTGGCTTGTGTTTCTCTGCAGAGCAAGGGAGGCCAAAAGGTTCTTCCTCCCACCCCCCCTGCTCTATACACGTGCAAGTCTGTGAAAACAGCCACAGTTTTAGAGAGCCCTCCCCTCCCTGTTTCCTGCTTTTCCCTGCCTCTGGAATGACCTGGGTTCCCAGAGCTCTCCTGTTAGCAGTGCTGCAAGGCTGAAGGCAGGAGAGCAAAGCAGAGCTGTGCATAGTCAGAACAGAGGGCAGGACAAGCCCCCTCCAAGCAGGCTGAACCCTACTGAGCTGGGGGATGTGGAGCTGCCACAAGCTCCAGGGGTGCACAAACATCTCCGGTGCTCCCCAGCACGAGCCCAGGCATCCACACCCCCCTGGGGCTCAGCTGGGCACCGCAGGCCTGACTGACAGCTGGCAAGGGAGGTTCTGGCTTACTTGGACTAAATATAACATGATCATGATGAGGACGAAGATGATGGCGAAGATCATGATGATAACAAACACCAATAGCCTGGTGACTATGGAGTGGTTGAGCCCTGCATTGTGCTGGGAGAGAAGGAGAGCAAATCAGGAGGGGAGAGAGGCTCGCTCCTTCCACTGCCCCTTGCCCAGAGAGGCACATGCAGCAGTGCCCAGGAGCTCTCCTACCTTTCCTGCGGACTCCTTGCCCATCTCCAAGGCCAGGTGCAGACACTGCCGTGTGAAAGCAGCGACTCCCTGGCTGTCCTGCCTGGGGCTGAGCCTCTTTGCCAGCAGCCCAGCCTCAGAGACCATCCTGGCACAGAGCAGCTGCAGGTCGAGCTGGCTGCACTCTGCACTCAGGGCTTCTGTCACGCGGGCGATGAACGTCCGCAGGGCCTCGTCCGGCACCTCCGAGTGCAGGGGATGCTCAACCCTTGCCTCGGGGAGCTCTGCTGGAGCTGGAGCACGGCCGGGGCTCTGGGAGCCTCCTGCCTCCTTGGCAAGCCTGGACCTTGCCTCTCCTTGCTTCCCGGATTCCCCGAGAGAGGAACGCTCTTCTTCAGCGCTGTCCTCAGGGTGGCTCTTGAGCCACAGGTCCAAGAGATTCTCTGGCTTTCTGTCTAGACCTTTGCTTTCTCCTGGCGTGGGCTCTTCCTCTCCCTGCACATCACCAGACACCTCGTAGAAAAGGGGGTTGTATGGCAGCTGATAGCCGGTGTCCCTCTGCCTGCGCTGGTACCTCTGGACAGAGCTCCTTCGGGGAGCTGCTGCTTCCTTTGCACCGTGATGTCCGAAGGCAGCGTTGTCATCCGGGGGGTTTGACCCACCAGCTACGTCCCAGCGGTTTAAGATTGGCCAGTTCAAGCCTGACTCGAGCTGCTTTTGCTCCCAGCCTGTGGTTTGCTTTCCCTCCACTGCTGGGAACTTCTGCACGTTGCGCCTGGCGGGCGCTGGCTGCTGTGGGACGATGTTTGCCACAGCCAGGGTGCTTTGAGCATCGGGCTGCTGGCTCTGGAGCTCAGCCACCAGCTGCTCTGCCAGAAAATCGGGTTTGCTGTCCACATCTCCGGTCCAGCCCCTGTTCTGAATGTTGTGCAGCTTCACCAGCAGCTCATCGATGGCTTTCCTTCCCTGGCTGGAGAGGTGCTGGGAGGAATACGAGTCTGCTCGGGAATCTCCCTGGCTGCTGAGGTCACCCCTGGTGCTGGCCTGCTTCTGAGCAACTGCAAACGTTACGGATCCATGGTGTGCTGGGGGAATGTCCTTGGGTTTGACGTACAGCACCGAGCTGCTTCTGAGTTGTCCAGGCTGTGCTGCTCCCGTTATTTCTGCCCGTTTCTGGGCTAGAGAACCTGTGGGAGAACATCAGGAGAGCAGATCAGCGACTCGGCATCTTGAGCAGCTTTCTGCCAAAAAACAGGGGCACAGGTTGCCCCAGGCAGCAGGCACACAGGGGCAGCACAGTCCAAGGCCTCCCAGGTCTCACCTGAGCTGCCTGCTGGACCGATGCCATGGAGGTGGCCAAGGCTGTCTGGGAACCCCCCAAAAGGGGGCAGGTTTGAGGGGCAATCCCCACGGTCAGGACACCTACCACACTGGGCAGTGCTGGTGTCACACAGGCTCTCACAGAAGAACTGGATGGTCCTGCACGGGGTCTCGATGGTGCCACGTTCCTTGCAGAGGCAGCAGGAAACGGCACGGGGCACTTTGCTAAAGACAAGAGGTTATTATTGGAAAACCTGGCATCCCAATCCATGACTCTCAGTCCAAGCTGGCACTCAGTCCCACCTACTCACAGTGTCTCCAGATGGGATGTTGTCTGCAGAAGCAGGAGCAGTGTCTGTGCAGACACTTGTGTTGCACTCAGGTCCCTGCAAGGATTGGAAGGACCTCGTTAAATTCTCAGGTGACGTTGCCAGAACTCTGCTCTGAGAACAAGCCTGGGTCCCTGATGATGCTGGTGGTGTTGGCAGAGGGATCCACTTCTTCCCAATCGAACAGAAAGGATTCAAAAGCCCACCATTTCCCTGTTTGACCTGCTCCTCCCCATGGGCTCTGAATCAGCAGGGGATCCTGCAGGTCTCGTGGGACCCCACCGGCCATTCCAAGGCTCTAGACCTGCTCAGCCTCTAGTTCTTTCAAGCCTGTATCCCAATTCCTTGGGTCTTTGCAGCTGGGGACACACCAGAATTGCTTGGCCTTTGCCTTGCTCTGCTGCTGCTGGGGATATTTTGGCCTCCAGCAGCAAAAGGCTGGGAGAACAGGGAGATTTGCTGCTGGATCTCTGCTGTCCTGAGAACAGGGCACTGCAGAGACAAAGTTCTGCACCAGTCTGGTCCAAAGGAGTCAGTACTTACAGATAGTTGATCGAAGGCAGCTTGAAGAATGCTGTGTCAGCTATGAGGGTCAGGGGGTTATGGCTTAGGATCCTGGAAAAACAGCAGAGGGCTGTGAGGGGGGATGGGAAGGATGTGAGCTGTGGGGGGCAAAGCTGCTCTGCCCCTCTGCCCCTGCGGGGTCTGCTCCCATCTGCCTTCAGACCTTGTTCCACTTACAGCTCCCGCAGAAACTGCATCCCATGCCAGGCCTCGAAAGCACCACTGGGGATCAGGGTGAGCTGATTCCCAGACAGGTTTCTGGGGACAGAGGAGATCACGGAAATGAATCCTTTTGCCTTTGTCTTGCAGCAGGGGAAAGTGTCACTGTTCTAGGAAATGCTCCTGTTGTTTTTAACACAGAAGGGTTCATCCACGCAAGAAGCCTTCATTCAACACACTTGGAGGAAACTTTTATAACTCACAGATGTTCCAGAAAAGGCAGTGGCTCAAAGGCATGTTCCTCAATGGACTTGATGTTATTGCCAGATAAATCCCTGTTACAATGAGAACACAAAACATTAATTCCACTTGCACCATTGTCTTTCCTTTCCTTTGGCACTGGCAGCATCTGTGTTCCCCAGCTCTGATCTGACCTGAGCTTGCAAGGCTGTGGAACCTGGGATGAGCCTCCTGCCCCAGGAGGGATAAAGCCCCCTTAGCCAGGCTGGGCTGAGCAGCAGGGGCCCAAGGGAGGGGGAGGCAGCAGCCCACTGTGCTTACAGGTGCTTCAGCAGGAACAGCCCTTCCAGGGAATGCCTCTTCAGTGCCTGCAGCTCGTTGTCCTTGAGGATTCTGGGAGGACACAAACAGACTTGGTTACACCAGCTGCTCGCCAGGGGCAACTGGAGTTGTCATGCAAGGGGGTCCTACAGCAGCTATGCTGGAACATGGCTTTGGAGCACTGCAGGGATCATCCCCACTCATGGCTGCAGCAGGCACCTGCTCCTGGCCAGGGGAAGATGAGTGTAGCCTGATCCCTGGGCAAACAGCCACAGCGATGATCCCGTGGGATGGGACACAGCTCATGGCATTTCTTGCCATCCTAGGAAGCCCTGGGCATTCACAGCCCTCCTTGCTGAGCAGCCCAGCTCAGAATTCCCATGGAAATGGGTTGTGTGGGTGCTCAAACACTGGACAAAAGGATGGGAAAGACCAGAATTCCTGACATTTGAGATGCTGGATGGTACTCACAAGGTCTCAGCCCACTGGTATTCCTTCCACGTTTGCGGTCCCAAGGTCGAAATAGAGTTGTCAGTGAAATCCCTTCAAAGAAACAACTGACACCATCAGCCCTCAGGAAAACCCTTTTCCCTGGAAATCAGTTGCTGAGGTAGAAGTGGGCTTTGCCTGGAAGTGCCACAGCGTGGCCAACTGGGCTTCCCCCCTGGAGTTGCAGTACGAGCCCCCCAGAGCCAGCCAGTCTGTGCTGCCATGTGCCTGCCAGGCTCTCAGGAGGGTTCCCAGCCACGCCAGGCTGTCAGGAGGGTTCCCAGCCGTGCCAGGCTGTTGGGAGGGTTCTCAGCCAGGCTCTCAGGAGGGTTCTCAGCCATGCCAGGCTGTCAGGAGGGTTCCCAGCCATGCCAGGCTGTTGGGAGGGTTCCCAGCCACGTCAGGCTGTCGGGAGGGTTCCCAGTCGTGCCAGGCCTAGCAGGGCTCTGGAGGGCTCTGTGGTCAGTGGGCACTCACAGCATGTCCAGGGGCCACGTGCTGGTGGCCGGGGGCACGGTGGTCAGCCCGGCGTGGCGACAGTCCAGCAGCCCCCGCCGTGGGGAGCTGCAGCGGTGTCCAAAGGGCTTCCCAGCCTGAGCCGGGCACGGAGCCGCTGCCAGCAGCAATGCCAGCAGGAGCAGGGAGCACATGGAGCATGTGAGAAGTGCCATGGTGAACCATGACGGCCTGGGGGCACCAGGCAAGCAAGGCCGGGGCGCTGCCAGGGCCTGCCATGTCACAGAGGGCTGTGTCAGCACAGCCACCAAGAGACTGTGTCATAGTCATGGACCCACACCACAGAACCCTACCATGGACTGGTCTGGAAGGGGCCTGAAGGATCAGTCCATCCCACCCCCTGCCAGGGCCTGGGACACCTTCCACTGTTCCACGTTGTTCCAAATCCAGCCTGGCTGGGAACACTTCCAGGGATCGGGCAGCCACAGCTTCTCTGGGTAACCTGTGCCAGGGCCTCCCCACCCCTCAGGGAAGAATTTCTTCCCAATACCCCATCTAACCCTGCCCTCTGGCAGCGGGAAGCCATTCCCCCTTGTCCTGGCATCCCAAAGTCCCTTTCCAGCTCTCATGGAGCCCCATTAGTTACTGGAAGGGGCTGGAAGCTCTCCCCGGAGCCTGCTCCAGGCTGAACAGCCCCAGCTCAGCCTTTCCTCAGAGCAGAGCTCTTCCACACCTTAGACCAGGTCTGTGGCCTCCCCTGGACTCACTCCAGCAGCTCCCTGTCCTTCCTCTATTGGGACCCCAGGGCTGGGGTCTCACCAGAGCAGAGCAGAAGGGGACAATCTCCTCCCTCAACTTGCTCCCCACACTGCTGGGCAAGTGTGAGAATAAAATATTTTCACACATTTGTAAGGCAATTTAATACAAAATTACCATCTCCACCTGAGAACTTGCCTCAACAGGGGACTTACTGCATTCCATGGAGGCCAGTCCATCCAAACACTCTCCCCATGTGAAATGCTGCATCTTCCCACTTGGATTTCTCCAGATTCATCATCCAGCCACTGCACTTTGCTTCACCTTTGTAAGCTCAGCCAGTAGCAGTGGATTTCTGTTGCAGCAAATCCCCCCATTCTTCTCTTCTTACTTAAACAGGCAACATTCTCACTTCAAGAGGGATCTCACATCATTCCTGTGGCTCTTTCCTGAGCTCTCTGAGTTTTCAATCACCCTTTTTTAATAAGGAGAAGTCCAAAACTCTGGGCAGGGGTTTGTTATCAAACAGGCATCCCCAACCTCACGACTTGGTGTGCTCGATGCCCCTTCCCATTGCCTGTGCTGCCTCCCAGGTTCACTCACCACACCACACTGCAAAATTTGACTTAATTTAATGAAAAAACCCGTTTGAAATGACAATCTTTGTTCTACATAATGACAACGTCCCCACTGCTTCTAGCTGGGGTTCAACACACAACAACACATTCTTACAAGACTTTGTAACTTTATTTAAAACAATTTGCACTTAGAGAAATGCTTTTTCCTGAGCCTGTGCAGAGCTGGGTCAGCCCCACAGCTCCTCCTGCTGCTAAGACATCTTCCATCCCAGACTTTCTCCCATGGATCAGAGTGACCTGGAGCTGTACAGGGCTCTTGCAGGGAGAGCTTGTTCCTTTGGCTGTCCTGGGAGTGCTGCTCACACCTGCTGTCCTGTCTAAACACCAATCATGCAGCTAAGCTGGCTTCCAGAGAGAGCTGACCTGAGCAGGCTGACAGCAAAACACCTCTTCTCCAAAACCAGCATGTATCTGGGGGCTTACTTTTAGTAACACAGGGTTTATTGCCCATTTCTTTCCCTGTTGGGCATCTGGAGGAAAAGCAAACAGGGTGTTTCATGGCTCGTCATCCAAACTGAGATCAGACAAAACTTCTTCTTCTTCGAGGTCAAACTGTTCCAAGGACAATTCATTGACCTGGGAAGGGAAATCAAGAGTAAATTTCGTTCTCTAGAACATGTTTGCTCTTCCACACCATCAAGGGCTTTCCTGTAATGTTCACTCCCCCAGACTCCATGAAGAGCAGCCCTGGACACTGTCACGTGTCAGGTCTGCCAGGCTGCACTGTCACAGCCCTGTACTCCTTGTTTTCCTGTCCCATCTACATCCCATGTGCCTTTCTGCACAAAGAGAGACAAAAACATAGGAGATTAAAAACCTTAGCCTGCTGCACAATTCCAAGATGCAATTCCTTCCTAGGATTTAAGTGGAGGTCATTGCTGCATCCAAGGAGGATGTGCTGTGTTCCATCACAGCCAACAGGTGGAACACACAGGCCCTGTGGGAAAGCTCAAATATCCACCACTTTTACCTGAACAAGCCCCTTCAGTTCCTCTTCTGTTAAGGAGTCTGTGGGCTCCTCCTGGCAGGAATTGTACTCCACAGCCACTTTCCCATTTTCTGAAACAGCCACAGACATGGTTAGTTACTGCTGTGTGGAACGACAATGAACCTCCCCTGAACTTCGAAAATGGGACAATTCTGCTTCTCTCCTGGCCAGGACAGCAACATCCAAAGGGCTGCAGTTCAGCTCCTGTTACCCCTGCCTCACATCCCCACTCAGCATGCATGTGGAGTGGCAAAAAGCTGTCCCTAACACCATTTAGACCCCTGGAATGTGGACTTTCAATGGCTTATTTATCATAAAAATATCCGTCCTCCTGTCAGATCTCCCTTTCACTCTCACAGCTCACAGGGAGGAACCTCTCTGTTAAACCACTATAGAACACAGCACAAATTTACTTTTGCTCCCTCCAGCCCTAAGAAAGGCTCAGGGCAAAAAGAACCGCTATCAATGGTCACAGAAGTTCTAATATCAGCCCAAACATTTCACACAACCCCCAGCCTTACCCAAGACTACGAGGAGGATCTTCTGGAAGGCCCCAGACAGAGCTTTCCCCACCGCGAGCTTCTGAGCTCTTCTCGTGGCTGTGATGAGCTCCAGGGGATCTGAACACAAACAGCAGCACGTTACTGACCTGGGCAGGGCACTGCCCACTGAGCAGGCACTGCAGCTGTGCCCAGGACATGCTCCCAAGTGGCTGTGCCGGGGAATGGATAACACCATGGGCAAGAGGGACACAACAGGGGGCAGGAAAGGTGGGAAGCAGGGAAGGGAGAGGTTCGGGATCCCATCAGCTGTGCAAAAGCAGAACTGGCCAGTGTCTGCAACAGCTGCTGGGAGAGACTTGCACTGCCCCCAAAGCCCAACAAAGCCCACCTTGCCCATCTCCTACGGCTGCCTGGCCCAGGGCAACTCCCCGGCTGCACACCCCGTGCTGGGGCAGCGTCAGCTCCAGAGCACACAGGAACTTCACAGGTCCCTGCTGGGAGCTCTGTCCCAGCTCCTCATTCTCACCATCAAGGGCAGACACCTTCTGCAGCTGTTGGGAAGAGCACAGAGAATCACTGTTAAACCACTATAGAACACAGCACAAATTTAGTTTTGCTCCCTCCAGCCCCAAGAAAGGCTCAGGGCAAAAAGAACCCCTATCAATGGTCACAGAAATTCTAATATCAGCCCAAACATTTCACACAACCCCCAGCCTTACCCAAGACTACGAGGAGGATCTTCTGGAAGGCCCCAGACAGAGCTTTCCCCACCGCGATTAAAGATGAAGGGGATAGGAAGGCTCTGCCCACTAAGGCCCGTGCCTGAGAACCACACACCTTCTCTGCACAGCCTGTGGCTCCGAGGCAGAAGCAGGTGGTGGAGACAGAGCAGGGGGATTTGCTGGTTTGATCCTAGTTTAGAAACACCTCCTAGTCCCCATCCTCTGGGAGTCTCAGCCATCTCTCTCTCGGCACACAAAGAACACTCAGGCCCCCCCCATTTGTACTAACGGAAGCCAAGCTAGTGCCCTCACCCATCACAACCTGCTCCCCACAGGCTCTCAAACCCCCCCATCCATGGCCCAAAACACAGCTCTTGTAGCTGACTATTATTTGCTGAGTGGAGGACAATTCATTCCACCAACCCCTCCAATGAAGAGGGGGATGAGGGGAAGGACGACGGATGAACACAAAGGGCCCCTCACCGTGATGATGCGACTGGACCAGCCGTTAAAGCCCAGGTAGTGGTTGGCCAACTCCTGGCACTTGTTGCTGCTGAGGGCAGGGGCTTGTTGCTGAATCCCCCTCTGCTTGGGGCAAACACAAACCTGCCCAGGAGAGAAGAACCCTGCTCAGCCAGGCCCTGCTTGTGAGGCTCCCACTCCAGCCACACCACTGACAGTTCTGGCACAGTCACCCTCAGGTAACCTATTCCCAGCCCTGTGTGTGCTCCTGAGCTGGGTTCAATATTTGCTTGGGCTTTACCCCGGAACAGGCCCACCCTGTTATGCCAGGGGGAGGACGCTGCCATTTTCCTGCTTAAATGCTCCCTGGGAACCAGCAGTGGGGGATGGCAGTACGGTGGCAGTGCCCAGCCACAAGTTAGTAAAGATTTTGCACCACTGAGATCAAGTATTTCACGGAATCACGGAACTGTCAGGCTTGGAAGGGACCTCTGGAGACCACCTACTCCAAGGCAGCGTCACCTGGAGCAGGTGACACAGAAAAGCACCCAGGTGGGTTTGGAATGTCTCCAGACAGAGAGACTCCCCTCCCCCTCGGGCAGCTGTTCCTGTGCTCTGCCACCCTCCATGGAAAGAAGCTCTTCCTCATGTTGAGGCGGAACTTGTCATGTTTTAGTTTATGGCCATTGCTCCTCGTCCTATCACTAGCACCACTGAACAGAGTCTGGGACCATCCTCTGGCACCACCTTGGTGACATTTGTGTGGATTGAGGAGAGGCCCTCTCAGCCCTCTCCTCTCCAGACTAACCAAGCCCAGCTCCCACAGTGTCTCCTCCTCAGAGAGATGCTCCCGCCCCTTAATCACCTTTGTGGCCTGTGCTGGCCCCCCTCCACATGCCGGGGAGCTCGGGGAGCTCGCGGGGCTGAGTCCTGCACGTTTCCCCCCGGGGCTGTTCTCTTACCTTCAAGGGGCGTTTCTGAAACAGCCTTTGCCCGTTGCAGGCGCGCTGGGCCCTGCTGGCATCCCCAGCTGAGTAGAACTTGATGACCCCGCAGCATCCCGGCCCTGCCACGGCGGCGTTGCCGCGCGCCCGCACCGAGTACAGCGGCCCGAACCTGGAGAACGCGGAGAACAGGGAGTGCTGAGGGAAAACAGAGGGGAAAAAAGGTTTGATACACCAGGAAGAGGCTGAACTACTGTGACAGAGACAGGACCACTCACAGGACCTATTTCCCTGGAAAACGAGGGACGGTTTTAGCAATGCTGGATGGCAAGAAGCTCTGCAACAAGCAGCAGGCTCGAGGGGAGGGTATCTCCACACAACTGAGCTTGCCCTGGCTGCATCTCTGACCACGACAACCTTTATCATCCAGCTTCTGGGCTGGGAGGAGAGGGAGGCCAGAGCGGGATTTCATCCTCAGCCCAGCTCTCTGCCGTCCCTCATGTGCTTTCACCCCTCAGCAAAACGCATTGACCGGGTTCGGTCCCAGCTCTCCCACCCTGTGCCGGACAGCCCGGGGCAGCCGTGCTGGGCACACCCCAAAAGCGGCCCTGGGAGAGGGGCAGGGAACACGAGGGAGCTAAAAAGCTGTTAGAAAGAGAGAAAACAAG